TATTAGATATGGACTCGCCATTCCTCTTTTATTCCTTTTTCCCTCTTTATATTTACCGCACCCGCCTTTTAAGAAGGATTCTAATTACAAAACCTATACCAACAAAAAAGAAAATTACAAAACCTATCATTTTAAAATATATATATATATTTAAAATAGCATCCAAAAAATAAAATTAACAAACTGCCACTATTGGTGAATGAATTCATTAAAATATTTATTTTCTAACTGAGGCAAAAAGAAAGTCGGAGACGGATTAAATTGGAGAATAATAATAACATCATTTTATATTTATTTTTTTCGTTTGGTCAACTTTTTGTTCCATCTTTGAGTGTTTTTTTTTTTCAAATTTCGAGGTTTAGGGCAGATGATGAAATGAATTGTGCTAAGACTAGGTCAAGCGTCCATATCTATTCCATTATAACCAAAAAAATTAATTATTTTATTAAATGTTTATGCCAATGTTTTATGGCACTTATAATTTTATTGACCAACGCTCTCTGGTAGAGTTAAGATTCTTAGCATGGACAGGTCAAATTTTCAACTATTTATCAAAATATTTTATAAATTTAAAACAGTCACAACATATCAATAACCAATTCAAGTCTTCTTATATGTGGTGATGGGTGTGATAGCGACCACGCTTTTTTAGGTAGTGGTGGTAGGATTCATTTAGGCTCATGAGTTGTTTTAGGGTTGGTTAATTTATATTTACGGGCCTTGTTTAGACTTATAGTTAATTGTGACAATGTGGCTGCTAGTTTTAGTGCGACTTTTGTCCGCTTTAGTTTTGCTTTTAGAATGTTAGTTTGTTGCCCTCTTGAGATTGATATTTTAGATGTGTTGTTAATGTCTTTAATTGTACCGTTGAAGTTTATCTAATGAAGTTTCTCTTTGATTAAAAATGAAGATTCACTATTAAACCCAATATAAGAGCCTCAATTATATTAAAAAAATCATATATTAAATTAACTTTAGAAACAAAAGCCCAGCCCTAAAACTTCATATATAAAAACTCAAAACACTCAAAAGGGTATCAAAGTAATTTAATAATCAAAATTAAATTGGGAGTTTCACTAAAACACCCAAAATAGAGGTTGAAATTATAAAAAAACCCAACACCCAAAACACTTTATAAACCCCCCCAAAACTCATCATTACACACACTTAAAATCCATTTATAAACACACCCAAAAAGTTGACTTTGGGGTTGATTTTGGGTGTGTTTCTATATTTAAATAGTGCTTGGATTTTTTTATAAATACATGTCTAGGATTGGGTTTATTTATAAATTTGTAAAATAAATTCAGTAGGGTCAGCTGTCATTTATTGAGTTTTTTTTGGGTTTATTTATAGAAATTAAATGGTGTAAGGTTTATCTATATCACTAGTGCTAAGAATGGGTATATCAAATTCTTATATTTAATACTATTGTCTCAACATCAAAATTACACTTGCAAAATCCTAAACAGAAGACCCATATCTTCCTCTCTCCATGATTGTACAATACTATGTACATAAGTCCTTCTCTTTGTTTTGCAAATGGGAGGGAGGGAGTGGGGGAATGAGAGAAAGGAGAGAGGAGGGAGGGAGACAAAGATGGCAGCCAGGGGCCTGGCTGGGGGTGGGAGAGGGAGAGAGAAAGAGAAAGGGGGGGAGGGGGGGAGGGAGGGAGAGGGGGGGGGGGGGGTGTCGGGGGGGAGGGAGGGAGGGAGGAAGGAATAGTGGAGGGTTACGTTGCTGGGGAAATAATGTGGTGCAATTAATTAATTAATTTTTAGTTTAATACAAGTTTGCTGAAGTAGACTTGTTAAAATCATTAGATTAATATAATGGTTTGCATTCTATTAAATGCATGTAAATGCACCAATGCTAAATGTAGAGGCTTGGGATCCTATAACTAAATATCTATGGGAAAAAAAAAGGTTATTGTATGTAATTTAATGACAATTTAACAAATGTGAATAAATCAATATACTTTACCAATGAAGCGTTAGTTGGATTGGTTCAGGCCTTTGGTGTGCTCCCAAGGAGTCTTGAGTTCAAGTCCCCATCATATTCATGTGTGTGAATTTCCCTCTCATTTTCCTAACTGCGACACAATGTATATATATATATCAATATACTTTTATAAGGAACTACATAGTAAGTAATTGTCACAATTTATCTCTATCTTTTATTTTCAAGCAATTAAGGAAAGACCATTGAAGTTTAATCCATAAAAATCTAGTAAGGTGACTAGGTGAGTGAATATATGCCAACAAAATCTTCTTCGAAATTTTTGTTTCCATTGTTTGTTGAATAGTCATAATGACATGTTTGTTTATGAATTTTCTCTTCATTTAGTTGTATTTTTAGTTGGTGAAGTGTCTCAAATAAACTGAAGGTAGGCAACAAACTATATATAACCCTTCGATATATTTATACGGTTTAAAAATAAAAAATAAAAAATAAATCCACCAGAAGCTCCTTACTGTTGGCTTGGCTGTATGAGCTCGGCTGATAAGCAGAGAAGCTGATGAGACGTTGAATAGATCTTTTGGTCGTTGACATACTGTTGTTGCTAGATTAACAGTGAAATCTTGGGATAATTTTTATTTATTTATTCACAAAGTCACTTATTTAAATTAATAATTAGACAGGAAAAAAGGTAATAACTAAATCACACACGGGCCGGGTCCACAGAGATTCTTTTTCCTGCGTCGATACAACGCTACCACCTTTAGGATATTAATTTGAATTATTAATTGGTCACTACTTTTATCTAAATTAAATAAAATTTTAAAAAATTAGGTAGCACATTCCTCCACATGATTCAACTAGTTTTGAACTTTTGAAAGCCATTCACCCTCCCTAAGCTACACTAGTGTTCTCAATAATTGAACAAATAATACTTAATTGAGGTGGGTCTCGAGCTTAGATATTTTTTAAATTGTTTTTTGAAAGAAGCTTAGATCTTCTCGATTTAGTTTCTTATTTCAATGAATTTTATGGTACTGAATTCTATCAGGGTTTTGATTCTATCGCACTGCTCTAAGCGGTAGGAGAGTAAACTACATAATTACTTCGAGTCTCGACCTCATTACTCTAAATAGTATGAGAATAGACTACTTCGAAGACTATACTCTCATGCATAGTAAGACTTACTTAATCCTCTTGACCAAACTCCATTTTGTCCCAAATTCAGAAGGGATAAAAAAAAACATAAGCATTTTCACTATTATTAGAATTTTTCGATACCAACCTTACATCAATTTTTAGGTAAGGACTATTTATACTGTTTTTATCTTGAGATAATGATTATTTAACATAGAAGATATAAGATGATCATCTAGTTTGGTCTTGGAGAATAACTTATTTAAAGAGAAATACGGCAGTGTGCCCGGCACATTAAAAACAAATCTACATATTATTTGAGGTTGTACAGTATCTGGACAAAACTGACATGCCCTTCAACAAACGCAAAAAATGTACATACAATTTATGGCGGGCTTGTGAAAGATGGACCACAGACAAAATGCAAAATAAGGTTAATGCTTATCCAAATTGGGACCAGATCAAATAGGAATGCAGCAACAACATACGCTCAACATTACAATTAGAAGCGGAATGTGACATTCAGTAAAGTTATTTTTGCTTTCTTTATGGGCCCATCTTGGATGAGACTAAATTGTTTTTACTTTATTATAAATATATATTTCTAATGCTTGATGCATCTAGGAGTGAAGTTGGGATTTTTATTTTTTTATTTTATGATAGGTCTTCTTAATTTGTCAAGGTTTCAATTGTGATTTGTAATTCGCTATCCACGTGTTGAGCATGTGTTGCCCTACTAGCACGTGGCCAGTGGCGGAGCCACTCCTAGACCCAGAGTGGCCCTGGCCCCCCCATATTTTTATTACTCCTCTATTATATTATATATAATATATAAAATTTGTAATAAACAACTTAAAATTTAAGTTAAAATTTCCTCTAAAACAAATTAGACATTACTCAATTAAAAATATTTAGCTCTAAACATGTAAGTATTGAATAGTTAGGTGTTTTATATACTCGTATTTTCTCCTTCGGCCCCCCCAATTTTACAATTCTAGCTCCGCCCCTGCACGTGGCTTAATTTGATCTCATCGCGTTGATGAACAAATTATGAGATTTTTACTCACTTAACTCAACATTCATAAGACAACTGATCTCTTTAATGCGTTGTTTTATAATAGGTAATAGATGCACTTTTGATCAGAGTTGTGAACTTACGAGATATGATTAACAAGTCTTAATTTAAAAGGTTAAAACTTACATATAACAAAGTGTATATCTTCCTCTACTTATTTCTGTCCACGTGAATCACGTTTGTGAGGATAAACCCAGGACACCTTTACACCACCAGAGCAGGGTCAACCAAGCCTCCACCAAGATTGAAAGAATCAATACATGTTCCCAAGCCATTTTTAAATTTTAATCCCAAACACACTGCCAATATACATTATATATAAATAAGCTGTAAGGACCTCCCCAATTCTTGGATTTGCAGCAAAACTTTCAGTCACTGCCCCAGTGCAGAGCCCAGAGAACTCTTGAGCTCTAATATTTACTTTTTTCATTAATTTTTTCCAACAAAAAAATACAAGACACCCATTAATTTATATTTGGACAGATAACTCTGCTCAAATGAGCCTCCACATTGGATCCAAAGAGATAAAAATAAACACACGATCAGCAATAATTCATAATAAGAACCGATTAAATCAAAGGAAACTTTCTCATTAATGTGATTCATCTTTGATTCTCAACATCCATGACAATGCTCAATTTTTGAGACATTCACAATCACAATCACAAACCCAAACACATAACAACAGCAAAACCAAAACGCAACATAACATAAACGGAACAATATGTCTGCCGCCAATTGGGTTTAGTTAGCAGCGTCCGCAGTTTTCTGGTTGTCCGTGGCCGGAACCTCCTTGATCTCTGCAGCTTTCGGGGTTGGCGGCAGAGGGGGAGTTACCGGCTGCGGCGGCATAGCATGACCGGATACTGCAGCAGCAGCAGCAGCGGCAGCATCAGCCACCTTGTCTGCAGCTGCAGCATCATCAGAAAGAGGAGCCAAAAGATAGTCAGGGGACACGAACAAGCTCTGGGATGGCCTTCTCTGGTGGCGATTGGCTCTCTGAGACATTTTCTGGTTTCTTTTGGAAATTGAGGTTATGAAAAAGGAGATAAGAGCTGCGTATGGGAGTGTGTATGGGGTAGAAAGAAGAGTGTTGTTGTATAGCTAGTTAGGTGTAGGCACACAGGCATGTAGCAGAGTGTTGACTCTGTTTTTATACTGCTGAGATGGGTTAAAAGCTGTTAGGTTGGGATTTTCTAATATCTATATCTAATGTCCCGGGATCTATGGGCACTATCTTGCAGATGAATTGTATAAAAATGGAAAGTATCTAGCTTTGTAATCCCATAATTGACCCCCACAATTGAACTGGGTGGGGGTAAAAGTTATCGGATGGGACGGTTGTATACGTCTTTTTAGTTATATACATATCGATTACATGCTGTTCACGAGATGAGATAGTTGTAAAAAAATATCACTAAGAGTTTCTTAGAGAGGCGTGAAAGGGGTGGTTGGCCATAAATTTCAATTTGACTACACCTTTGTTTTACCAAAGTTGATGAGATGTGAAGATACTTTACCATTTTTGGCTATACTTATCGATAACGTGCTCATTACGGGATGAGATAATCGTGATAAAATATCACTATTAGTTTTCTTATGAAGGTGTGAAGGGCTAGTTAGTCCTTAAATTTTAATTTGGCTACACATTTATTTTACATAAGATACTCATATGTATAGATTTTTTTTGCATCTTTTTGAGGGGATTTGACAATTAATGCAAAAGTTTATATGGTTTTATTACCAAAGATATGAATGTTTAAGCATATCACCAATTAAGAGGTCATATATGTCTTTTTAAGAGTGCTGTTATTTCACTCACTTTATTTTTAAAATTTTAAAGACACATTTATCCTATTGTAAAATGACTTATAAAGACAAATTTACCCCTCTCTATGTTTCTCACCGTTGTGTGATTGTCCATTTGTCCAACCAAACACCAAACCATGAAAGTGAAAGCTGCAAGTGGGGAAGATAGAAAATAAAAACAGAACAACCAATATCTCATCTTTTCCTCTTTTGCAAAATTACAAGCCCAAAAGAAAAAAGCAAAACAAAAAAACACAAAGAAAGAAATAGAAAGATGAAGAAGAAACAGGTTAGGACCCATGAATGTATACATGTAGAAATCAATGAGTTTGATGTTGTTGTCTCTCCCCAAATTTTGGCTTCGTATGCAAACCCAATTTTGAGCTCGTAATGTTGTAGGGGTGACCTCCCCTTTATCTACCATCTCCTGATCTCAGCCGTCGATCTTCCACCACCCCACATTTTTCCGATCGATCCATGCTAGCGGGATTTGGTGGTGGTGAATGAGTTGTCGACAATGGCTCCATCGTTCTGGAGCCTTCTTTTTCTTCCCTAAAGAACAACGATACCACTACCTACCAACAACAACATCAAAATCAACCTATCCAAATCCATATCAAAACCTAAGTCTAATTGAAATTCTTCCGAATTTAAGAAAACCTATAGTAAGAAGAATGTTCAATAGTAGGATTATGTTTTTTCAAGGGTATTTTAGGAATAATGGTGGGTGGAAAGATAAGATTTTGTTTTTTCAAATTTACATGGTGGGTGGAAAGATAAGGTGAGTGAAGAAATAAGACTTGAGGTGAAAATAGCAGCACTCCTTTTTTATTACGTGCTACTCTTGAAATGTGATGATTGTAAGAAAATACCACAAAAGTTTTCTTATGGAGGTGTGAAGGGGTGATTAGTCCATGAAACTTCTGTAATTCACTACTAAAAAATAATATTAAACTCTATGTTAAATTGCATTCGGGTCCGGATACTTAAATAAATACATAAATATATTGTCCAAGAAACAAATCCTTTTGAAGAAAGAAAAATTACTACCCATGTAATTTCGAGAACAATCGTGGCTGTTTGGGTGTGAGGATCAAGCATATATGTAATTACGAATATATAAAACTTTTATTGGATAATATACTTGCTCGGAACCCATGTGATTTGAAGAAGTATAAACGAGGTTTTGGCGGGGTCATGGGTTCGTGCATGGTGGTACTTGGAACCTTCGTCCTGTGTTGTGTGTTTTCAGAGCCACATGCATCGGGTCCCTTTACTTCTTCTTCATTTTGTATGTTTTTTTTTCAGTTTAAGGTAAGTTCACTGCACCTAATCTCTACTCAACCACTCAGTGGATCAATCGAATCTGGTGAATTTTGCAAATCACTTGAGTTTTAATTGTCAAATTATAATTCATTCAATACCACATATGGTTCTATATTAGCATAATGATGTGGTACTGTCAGACTCATAAATGTTAAAATAAGTCGTACACACGTTTGTAAATTAATCTTGATAATTAATACATATGGAGTATGCAATTCATCAATGTATAGAAGTCACCGTGCACGTGTGTGGTCACATAGAGAGAGTCATATCACTCGTAATGAAAATCAATTCTTTCCCACTAATTATTGGTCTTGACACCAAGAGATGTATTTAAGAATCAAAGATGGTATAGGATATAGTCAACTTCAAAATAGAAACAAGAGTGATTAATCAAATGAAGGAGATAAACTTAATAAGAGATAAATGATTTTTCTTTATCACTTTCGATGGTGAAAGTGGCACCTATCAACTTTAAAAATGGTAACAACGACAGTTTGATTTCTCTTTTGGCTAGAAAGGAAAGAAAAAAAATAATTAATAGAATTAAAAGCATACATAAGATGAGAGAGAAAATCAAGTGGGTTCAAAGAAAGCATGGAAGAAATCTGACAGAGATTGACTGCAATAGCTGAGTCCATCTCAATAATGAGACTACTGATGCCTTTCTCAATTGCTAACTTCAAACCAAAAAAAAGACCCCATATCTCAGCCTCAAGAACTTGACCTTTTCCTAGATTAATAGCAAAACCACTTACCCAGCCACCAAAAGGGTCACGAATGACTCCCCCAGCACCAATGCAGCCAGTAACGCTTCTCCTTGAACCATCCACATTCAGCTTAAACTGTCCAGGCCCAGGAAGCTCCCAGGCAACATGAATTTGAACTTTATTTACCTTGACAGTGAGATTAGACGTTGACTTGATCCACTCCTGAGCAGCCCCACAAATAACTTGCCTTGGACTAAAAAGGATTGTATCCTCATTCTGAAAAACATGCTTATTTCTCCAACACCATAGATGCCAACAAGTAAACACAAAAACAGTACTCCAAGGAACATCACCATTCCATTTCTCTCTAGAGAGCATATTGACCTTCATCCAAGGCTGAGCATCTAAATGGAAAAAACGATGAGCACAGGCAGGGAGAATAGCATTCCACGTAGATCGAGCACGCTCACAATCACGGAGAATGTGAAGGACAGTTTCAGTAGGCCAAGAACAAAAGCCACATGAAGGGTCAGACGCCAATTGCCTTCGAACACGCTGATCATTTGATAAGATTTTGCCTTGAGAAGCCAGCCACATAAAATATTGCAACTTAGGAGGAACATTTAAACTCCACAAGGACTTCCAGCAGGAGTCAGGGGTAGAACAACCTCCAAAGAATAAACTATAAGCAGATTTAACGGAAAAGTCCCCATTAGTACTACCCTTCCATATCTGAGTATCAGGTAAAGAGCCTAAAAACCCCACAGGAACACTAATGACCTGTTGAACAAGATCTTCACAAAGAACACCTCTCAACTTGTCAATGTCCCACCAGCCATTCATAGAGAAACTTGAAACAGGACAATTGCTATCAGGGATGGTGAGAACTCCAGCCAGCTGCATTAAAGGGCCATCAGTAACCCAATTATCCTCCCAAAATTTTACACTATCTCCCCGACCTATTCTCCAACACATCCCTTGCATAAGTAATTGGATACCATGTAAAACACTCCTCCAAGTAGTGGAACAAACCTGCCTTGCTCCAAGAGAAATATCAAAAATAGAAGCCCCTTTAAGATACTTAGCCTCATAAATTTCAGGTGGGTTCCATGAGTCAGCTACCACCCGCCTTGATTCTCAATCCACTTTCAAGTTTTTTTTTTTGGGGGTAATTAATCCACTTTCATGTCAACCATTATTCTCTAATCACTTTAAGGCCTGACCATGTTCTTATAGGCCCAAGAGCATCCCTTAAAGCCTAGTAGGCCGAACGAGGCCCGATAAAGACGAAGTAAAGCAAAAATTCATGTGAAATCTTATTCAATTATTATCGGTCGACACACACTCACATTTCGTAATTATCTCACAATTTTCACCCTATTAAAAACATATTTATTAAAAAAAAAAAAAAAAAAAAAGCAAACAACCGCAACCACATGCTGTTTAATAAATCCCTTACTATCTTAACGAGGCCCGATAAAGACGAAGTAAAGCAAAAATTCATGTGAAATCTTATTCAATTATTATCGGTCGACACACACTCACATTTCGTAATTATCTCACAATTTTCACCCTATTAAAAACATATTTATTAAAAAAAAAAAAAAAAAAAAGCAAACAAACGCAACCACATGCTGTTTAATACATACCTTACTATCTTACTAAATGTTGTGGCTACAACGAACAGAACACAATTTGAGAAGAAAAAAAAAACATCATTATGAAATTCGCCTCGGAAGACCGTAGTTAAGTTCATATACATCATTTTACAATAGTCAAAGAACATTTCGATGACAAATCATCGACGTAACGTGACTTTGCTAGCTTTTTTTTTAATGTTCTTTATCATGACAAGTGATTACAGACCAGTTTGGCATTGTTGTGTTGTGAAAATAATCGTTGCCAAATTTGTTATGAGAGAAATCAGCTGTGAGAGAAAACAGTTTGACATTTGATAAACTTTTTGTTAAAAGTGTTGTTGGTACTGATTCCCGCATAATAAAAAAATAATAATTCATGCACAATCATTAAACTCAGCGCCTCTTCGAAACTGATTCCTGCATAATCAGAAAATGAAAGCACTTCATTAGAGCATCCACAATGGGCTCCCTAAACCACCTCCTTAGACAAATTTTAGGGAGGAATTGTAAAAATACAATTACAACCATGCTCCCTATCCACCTCCTAAAATAGGGAGACCTATAGAAGCTCCTAAATCTGAGGAGAGAGAAGGGAGTCCTAGTGAAGAAATTATAGCATAACTTATATTTAAAATTTGTCATGTGTATTATTTTTATAAGAAATTAAACTATTATTCCAGCTGGAT